GTGTAGAGAACCGGAGACCCTTTTTACTGGAAAAGAGGCATTCCATCCTAGTCCTCACGGGTGACAACGCATCTGCATTTTGATTCGCAAACGACGATAAATGTAGATGTCTATGGGCCACAGCAGCCACTTACCATCAGGTGGACTGTGTGCTCGTTTGTCACCTTATCCTATAAAAAAAAAATTAAACTTTAAAAATATGTCTTGACTTTGTTTTATACAAAGAAAGTTTTTCCCCGACCTTTTGTTTAAAGACGATATCCACGGTTCATTTTGCTCTTCATATTTCAATAAATCATTCTAAAAATTAAAGCAGACTGAGCTGAATAAGTAATCCGTCATCGGCGAAAAGTATTTTGTATTTTCGCTCTGATGACTTACATTGATATCGTTCGACATTGAACGAAAAATCAACGGTGTAATTACTAACAATGATAAATAAATGAAGCCAGATTGTTCTCGTTTATTTTTTCCGTTCGAAAAATTTAATTAATTATTACACGCATTATTACTGGTTCATTATTTCTGATTTTTGAGTTTTTATACGGCCGGAGCTACTTTAATTCGAAACGGTACATAGTAGATTCAAATTAAATCATATTTGACAAACAAAATTTTATTTTATTATGTCGAACATTTAAAAATATTAAATTTCTTTAAAGAAAAAATTACAAACGAGCACACAGTCCACCTGATGGTATAAGGATACTGTGGCCTATAAATATCTATTATCGATTAAAAACCAAAATGCAGGTGACATGTTGTCACCCTTGAGGACTAAGATGGAATGCCTTTATGTTACTCTACTCTATGGAATGCCTCGTCACCAATAAAAAGGATATTCGGTTCTCTCACTATACGAAACAGCAGGATTGTACTGCCATCTCTCGCCGGTATTCTATCTAAACGGTGAGTATGAACGATTAAATAATACAAACATTAGTGCGTGTAAACACATTAATAATTTCATCGGTCAACTCCAATGCACGTTGATTAGATTCACTGAGAATGAACCGTATAATATCGTTAGGACAAGTGCTGGGAATATTGGTAAGTACTTAAAATAATTTTCAATAAAACTCAATGAAACTATATTGTAACGGAAACTTATTAATATTCAACAGACACTTTACAAGCAACAAAACACGTTATTTATTCATATATTCTAAATAAATCCTCCGAATGCGCCATTAAAATCGATTATATTATGTTGAAACTGCATTCGTACCGAAATGTCAATGAATGACCGCGATATCTCAAAGCTCGGAAATAAACTTTGTAAAATCCATTTACGGGGAGCGAAGATACGTGATCGCTCTATGCATTATAGTCTAGGAGCTAGGAGTTAGATAAAAATATTTTTTTCTTATAGGATAGGGTGACAAACGAGCACACAGTCCACCTGATGGTAAGTGGTTACTGTGACCCATAGACATCTACATCGATCCTCTATAAAGACTCAAGATGTAGATGCGTCGTCACCCGTGAGGTCGAAGATGGAATGCCTCTTTGCCAGTAAAAAGGGTCTCCGGTTCTCTACACTCACCATACGAAACACAGCAGCGTTAAGCTGCTATTTTACGCTGGTTTTCTGTGAGAGCGTGGTCCTTCCCCGGTCGAGCCAACCCATTCGTGCTACAACTATACTACTAATATAGCTACAGCATGGCTCTACCACGTAAACGTTACCACGTTTGGCTTCTACTTTTGCAAATTCTTTAACAAGGTTAACAAATACAGTGTCTAAGAAAACATTCGTTAAGTTACGAATGCCTTAAAATCAATAGGTAATTAATATATTCCACAGCCGAGTCTTGTAAGAAGTTAAGTAGTAAAACTAAGTAATGTATTTTTAAAAAAAATAAAATATATAATATTTGAACAGGTAATGCGGGCTAATAATTATCCGCTCACCAGATGTCGCTAGCTGACATTGAGCTGAAGTTTATTGTCATTTAATTGAGAAGTTAGTTTGAAATAAAAGTTTATCAGTTTCTAAAGTATTATATTAATATACAAAACAGTGCCTCAGTGGTTTGTTCTTTAATTTTTTGCAAATTTTTAACTCTTATTTTAAGTTTTATATTTTTATGAACATCTATGGTTTGATTTATTTATTTTAATCTTATTAATATAAAATATAACTAATGGATCAGAACGAAACATAAACCTTTACATTTTTGGAACAAATTAAGTTCCCTATTATGAAAGCTGTTAACTATTACATCTCATTTTTAAATGGCGCTGCTCTGGTGGCAGAAAAAGTCGTGGATTGGAAACATTGAAAATAATGCTTTATCTCAATAATATGAGTCTAGAGGTTTAGAACCGACAAAAAAATTGTCAGCCGTATTATTAAACATTAGAACAAGCACACAGTCCACCTGATGGTAAGTGGTTAATGAGGCCCATATACATCTACATCTATCCTCGTTTGCGAATCATAATGCAGATGCGTTGTCAGCCGTGAAGACTAAGATGGAATGCCTCTTTTCCAGTAAAAACGATCTCCGGTTCTCTACACTCACCATGCGAAATACAGTAGCATTAACCTGCTATTTTACGCTGGTATTCTGTGAGAGCGTGGTCCTTCCCCGGTCGAGCCAACCCATTTGTGCTACAACTATACTATAAATATAGCTTCAGCTTGGCTCTACCACGTAAAATTAAATTCATTTTAATAAACTAATTCTGACTTTCGGCGTTACATCTCCTAGACTATACGGCCTATACAAAGCATCTCGCTATAATCGAATTGATTCGTTAATTACTTGCCTTTATCTCGGGCCACCATTAGCCGGGTCTGCTCGTCCCACGCGCTCCTTAATTGCTATCAATTGGAATTACGACCCGCCCGTACCGAATACTATTGAAAACTCGATCTTAGAATCGATTTAATCTGTTTTTTATGATCGCTAGAAAGCTCAGCTCGAGTTGCGGCGTGCGGTGAACATCGCTGCGCTGTGGGAAATTTTGTTTACAAATTGTCATACATGACTTCATTAGCTACCAGATATTAACTTCTGCTACTTCAACATATTTAGTCTTTAATTTACATAATATATTATGATTAGGAACATTTAAATAAAATGTAAAACTTATGTTTTACATATGAAGCTTGTCATTTTTGTAGATAAAAGAAATTTACTTTAATAGCCGTGGTAGTTGAGATGGTTAGCGCTCGCTGTAAATTTCACAGTACGCGAGCAACCCAGGTTCGATCCACGCCGACACCAATGAAATTGTTAATTGCAATTTTAAGTGCTGATTTACCACGTGGTCGACGGCGAAGAAAAACATCGTGAAGAAACCTGCATGTCTGAGAAATAAAAGGAAAAAAAATATTTCTAAGACATGTGAAGTTCGCCAAAAATGTCTTTATTAAAAGTGTTTTTTTTTTAATACTTTTGAGTGGACTAAGGTAGATTACGATCTCAATATCATCTAAATAGTTACATTAAAAAGTTCATCCCTTGTATTGCCATCATTTTGAGTAAAACTTTTCTCCAAAATTTTATGGGACCACTAAAACTTGAAGAATAACCTATAATTTAATTTAAAAAAAGGATCATTAAAATCGTTTAATTGCCACTTCAACTTCTTGGCCCACTGGGCTATGTCAGTTACTCTTGTCTTCTTTAGATATTTTTATTTTGCTTATTATAAGCCAGTGCTTGACCGCAATCCCACCTGGCGGTAAGTGGTGATGTAGCCTTAGATGGTAAATCGCGACTGTCTTAGCGTAACAAAAGCCTATTCACTCTTGCCTGAAGGACTGTTTATGGACGTTAAGGACATCGCACGCTGAGTGACTGCTACCTCATACGACTTAAAATGCAACTTAAATTAAAAAGGTTTAAAAACAAAATTAGGCATTATTTAAAAAGAAAACAAGAAATAACGATGATAAAGGTCCAACATTATCTTTACCGGTTGCGTTCTCATGCAAGTACGAAACATCCAGTTTCTGTTGATCCCTCACATGCCCTTCAAGTCCCAGGGTCATAAAGGGAATTACACATAATATGGATGGGGAATGTATAGTTGATATTATAATGGTGGTTTGCTAACAGCGCCTCACAATTATATGCAATTAAGCTATCATTAAGAGGTATTTCTTGAAGGCAGCAATTTGTCACGCACGCCGCAGTGGCTAGAGCGGGGAACAGAGGAGGAGCAAGAGGTGGGGGGCGTCGGATGTAAGTCTTAATTAAGTGAATCCTATGATGTTAGGCAGTTGGGTAAATTACTTTTTGAAGTGCCGCTTTTCAATAACTATTTCTAACAACAGTAAAATTTTAGATACGTGGATAACAGAATAAAATAAATAGATACATATTTTTGTAATACATCATTTATACATATCCAAAGAACAATTAAATAAAACCAACAACGAACTTAGTATAATTCATATATTGAAGGTTCTTTTAGAACAGGTATGGGAAACCTTTGACATGTTGAGGGCCAAACTTTCGCGTACAAATTACGTTCGCGGGCCGCGTTTAAAAGTACTTAGTGCATTTTAAAGTAGTGATAATATTTGTTTGCGATAGATATTAGACATGAAATAATACGACAATGTTATTATAGTACAATTTATTAAAATAACAAAATAAAATTTAATAAAATGGTACGTTATAACTAAATCTAATCTAAATTTGCAATTGTTGCAAACTACGAAAGTTAAATACACCGAAATCATGTCATGTCATCAATGAGACACTCGAGCTTGAATTTGGGAAACTAATCCATCGATATTTGGATTAATTCCACTGATACAAAGCCGTAAAGAATTTTCCAAATTATCGTCAGTCAGTCTTGTACGATGTGTTGATTTATTAACTTTCATCAATGAAAAGAACTGTTCGCATTTATAAGATTATAAGTACTGCCAAACGCACAAATCAATCTTCTTGCGAATTTTCTAAGCTGCGGAAAATTGTCTTCTTCTAGGTATTTTTTGTAGAAATCGCACAACTCTACGTCTTCAAATTTGGATTTTAGTTTTCTTGAATCTCGATCAACTCCATTTGTAAGTGTATTGGAGCATTTTGTACACTATATTTTGTAGGAGTAGCAAATAAACTGAAACAGTCTTCCATGTTTTTGAAGTCGCTAAATCTGTTCGAAAATTGTTCCGACAGTAACTTGAGTTCTTCAGGATTAGCAATATTTTCATACGCAGAGAGCGTGTTGAAATGGTAACTGTTACCAGACAGCATCTGTGACTCCCACAAGCGTAGTTTGATCTGAAACGCTTTCAAATGGCTGTACAAATCATTTACTAACTGTCCTTGTTTTTGAAGTTTCAAATTTAAATCATTCAAATAGCCTGTAAGATCGATCAGAAATGCCTAGTCACATATCCATTTTGGGTCACTTAATTCAGATAGTGGTTTATCTTTTTTTGTCATAAAGTCTGCTATCTCATTTCTAAGCTCGTAAAACCGTTTCAACATTTTTCTTTTGCTCAGCCATCTGACTTCACAATAATATGTTACGTCGTTATATTCAGCTGATATTTCATCCAAAAACGCCATGAACTAACGATGGTTAAGCCCTCGGGATCGAATAAAGTTGATGGTTTTTACTACCACACTCATAACATTCTGGAGTCGAATGGACTTAGAACACAAGTTCTGTTGGTGGATAATGCAATGAAGGACTATCAAATCATCTTTTTGTACAGTTAATTCTGTTGCTTTTCCATTCAAAATTCTGATGAAACCTTTACGTAAGTCGACTATAGAAGGTGCACCATCAGTGCATACTCCAATTAATTTTGACCATGGCAAGCCAAAACTTGTGAATACCTTTTGAACTTCAATAAAAATATCCTCTCCTGTAGTGGTTCCTTTTAGCGGCTATAAAGCAAGCAATTCCTCAGTAACAGTGAACTCCGTCAGACAAATCGGTGCTCTCGTCTAATGCTATGGAAAATGATTCAAAACCACCATACGGTCAGTCAGTGTTGTTTTACAACAGTTCGTCTTGACAAACTATTATTTAAAAGTCATTTTTTTTCAGGACACAAAATACCGCAAACTTCTAACATACACTCCTTGATAAATTCTTCGGCAAATGGTTTTAATGCCTTTGCCAATTTTGAGCTAAGTATAAAACTAGTTTTCACAACATTATCAAGTTGTGTTCTTTGTTTATGAAGCATTTGTTGCTGTTTTTCCCAAATTTGCGGTAAGCTTCTGGTTTTTTTCTGTTCTTAATTGTCCTGTCAGTGAGTGCAGCGTAGCATGCTTAGTTGAGTAATGCCTCTTTATATTGAATCCTTTCATTACTGAAATGGATTCATTACACAGCAAACAAATAGACTTACCATTGTGCAAGATAAAAAAGAATTCTTCAGTCCATTTTTCTTGAAACTGGCGACCCTCTGTATCTACTTTTCGTTTCTTTCCACTAGACATCATTTTTGTTTACTTTTCGTTCAATAAACTTAATAACAAACTATAGTTAGTAACCACTCAAGATGCACACAAAGTCACAAAGTTTTTTTTTCTGAATGTGTACGCTGTTTGCCCTGCGGCCTTGACAGCTTCATCTAATTAGGCTCGTAAGTGAGGACTTACGAACTATTGAGTGCAACGATGCTGCCGGCCGCGAGGCGGCGCGAAGCGCCGCTTCGCCAACTGCAGTCCCGAGGCACCCCAACCCCTGCTTTCGGAGTGACGCTACTCGAGCTAGGGGGGGGGGGCTCGGCTTGAATCACTATCGCAATTTTGTTAACGGGTCGCAAAAATTACGGCTATCCACCCGCTTATATAGGCAAAATGAAGGAATAATCTGGAATAAACTAGTTTAGAATAATTGAGAAGCAATAAATTTTTTGATGTGTCGCTCGTGAGGCGGCAAACCTGATCTAGCAAGCCGAGTGGCGGCGATTATCAAAGTGTGAGGCGGCAAAATCAACGGATTTGATGTTTGCCGCCTCACTGTCACTTCCGTGAGTATGTTTCCTAATGTAATATATTTTTAATTGGGTTTTCTCAAAATGTCTCACGGGCCGGATCATATCTTACAGCGGGCCGGATCCAGCCCGCGAGCTGGTTGTTGGCCATATATGTTTTAGAAGGTAACAAGCGAAAATACAGCGTAAGTGATAAACGACTAGACGGCCACCTGTGGCTCATAGGCATCCTAATACCATCTACGACGGAGTATCAAGAGTCATCGATGTACTTAGAATGTCACAAATTTTCACGTCCACTTTTATTTCTTTTCAACTTTTTGATGTAAACTGAAGTAGTACGATGGTAATAAGGTTGATATCATTTTTATTTTATTATCTTTCGCACACATATTCCGTCTTTATTTGTGTCACCACCTACAAGATTTTTAAAAATAAGAAATATATGAAACACTACATCGTATACATTAAGTAGGTATTTACTTATAATTTATAACAATATAATAATTATATTTACAATTTATTTTACAATGTATTGATGTAGCTTAGTTACTGGATGATTCTGAAGGCTTAACCTAAATAAGTCGAACCCCAAAAAGGATTTTTTTTAATAACATATGGTGACAAACGAGCATACAGTCCACCTGATGGTAAGTGGTTTCTGTGGCCCATAGACATCTACATAATATATCCTCGTTTGCGAATCAAAATGCAGATGCGTCGTCACCCGTGACCCCGTGATGACTAAGATAGAATGCCTCTTTTCCAGTAAAACGGGTCTCCGGTTCTCTACACTCACCATACGAAACACAGCTGCCATTTTACGCTGGTATTCTGTGAAAGCGTGGTCATTCACCGGTTGAGCCGACCCATTCGTGCTACAACTATACCACCTACATAGCTGCACGGCTCTACCACATAAAATAATTCTTGTGGTTTTAATCACTTCTTCCATCGTTACCCATATAGTAAATAAAATACTTTTTAAATGCCCTGATTGACGAACGAGATTTATCGCAATCTTGGTCTTGGTGGCTCTTCGGAAAGCTCGTTGGTGGAACATCGCAAAACTGCCATTCTGTGCACCAACCATGTAGGCTCGCGGCATGCTAGCGTTGTATGAAATTTGGCACGCTGCATCCTGAACATAACATTTTTCGACTTGCAAGTGTATTAGGAATGACGTGTGACGATTGAAACCGTAATGTCTAAATGTATTTAGAGTGACAACTCTTACAAACCACACACATACCTATTTCTATTGAAATCGATACTCGGTACAAGACTAGTGTAATGATGTCATAGTTTTATGGACGGAAATTTGACAAACTTTTAAGATACTGCTAAAAGTAGCAATTTTAAATTAAACCATGTTGTAATTTACTAAGGGTGGTGAAGAAAAATAAAATATCTCACTTTATTAATGAATGATAAAATTGGGGAAAACACTTATGAGACAAGCGGTAAAATTAAATTTTTTTTACACTCGACATCAATATAAATAAAATGAGAAAGTACATCATCAATGTAGTCGAAGTCAATTAAATACGCTTTATTAAGGATAATTCAAAAACTACTGGTCAGATCTTGATCAAATTTATATGGGACCACATGAGGAGCATCAGCTTTTAAATAAAAATCATCAAAATTGCTTCACCTAAAAAAATATTTAAGGTTTAATTTAAATCTCAATTCCACTGTATTTTTAAACACAAAAAATACAGTGGAATTGAGAACCTCCTCCTTTTTTTATGTCGGTTGAAAATTAACTTGAGTAGCATTCATCATCATCATCATCATTACAGCCCTTCACAAGTCCACTGCTGAACATAGGCCTCCCCCAAAGAATGCCACAAAGCACGGTCCTGAGCCACCTGCATCCATCGACTTCCTGCATGTCTTACCAGGTCGTCACTCTATCTCGTGGGGGGACGCCCTACACTTCGCCTACCGGTACGAGGCTGCCACTCGAGAACCTTTCTTCCCCATCGGTTGTCGCTTCTTCGAGCTATATGGCCGGCCCATTGCCACTTCAGCTTACTAATCCGTTGGGCTATGTTGGTTACTCTGGTTCTACTGCGGATATCCTCATTCCTAAGTTTATCACGCAGAGAAACTCCGAGCATAGCCCTCTCCATAGCTCGCTGAGCGACCTTGAGCTTCCTCATCCGGCCAGCAGTGAAGGACCACGTCTCAGTTCCGTATGTCATCACTGGCAACACGCACTGGGTGTACAGTCAGTCAGTACAGTGAGTAAGTAGCATTAGCGTGTTAAAAGTAAAACGATTAAATTATAATACATATGCATAAATAAATTTTATTTTCCTTCCATTTTAGATCGGGCATTATTAAACAGTCCACTCATAAAAAGTAGACGCCGACGCCTTTTTTGTACTCGTAGATCTATTAGGATGGATGTTATTATGCATTTTCTGTAATTTTTTGTGATTATTTGAGAGGTGTCCACGATTGCTAGGTTCATGACCGCCGACAGGAAGCGATAATAGAGACCAAAGCACCCCATGTCATGCCACACTTGTCATACACACGCTACTATAAGGTGCGTCTTTTCATTGCCAATTAACTTAGTCTAGCAACTAAGTTCAGAGTTAGGCTGATATTTAGAAACATCAACGTAGTGGAGCCATGCTGCTGCTATATTAATTGTATAGTTGTAGCACGAATGGGTGATTCGCAAACGAGGATAAATGTAGATGTCTATGGGCCACACCCACAGCAACCACTTACCATCAGGTGGATTGTGTGCTCGCTTGTTACCCTTATACTATTAAAAAGGACAACATTGTAAGGGGTTAGTATGTCCAGAAGAATATCTATAGAATACAATTGTAATTAATATCAAATTTAAAATGTCAAATTTTCGCTAATTGCATATGAAAGTATATACGGTGCTTATAACAAACATAATTTTTAAAATTTTTGTCTCTCTGTCTGCCTGTTTGTTCCAGCTAATCTACGATACTACTGGCCCGATTTTGACTGGACTTTCACTGCTAGATAGCTCATGTTATAAGGAGTAACTTAGACTACTTATATTTTAGAAAATTAATTAGGGTTCCGCGCAACAAAATTGAAACCCTAAATTACACGCGGGCGAAGTCGCGGGGAACAGCTAGTCTATTATAAAATTGCAAATGCGTTGCCTGAGGAATAAAATGGATTAAATGTCTCGTTACCAGTGAAAGCGGTCTCTGGTTCTACACTCACTATATTAGTCATAGAAGCATTATGCTGGTGTGTAAGGTTGGTATTCTTGAAAGCGTGATCCTTCCCTGGTCAAGCCGATAGTGCTTGTTGTTGCAAATAATAATAACTTTTAACTCCGCACTTTATACCTAAAATAAAGTGGTCGATTTTGCGAACCAGTGGTAAAAGTAAAAAATGACTGAATAAGTATTATGTACTATATGAAAATGATTCTATTCTATTATATTCTATTCAGCGAGTTCAGACATGGCTCTAAATATGGATTCGATAATTTGGAACAAAATTCTTACATTTGATTTTAAGCAAGTTTAAATAGTTAAGTATTAGTTACGATATTTGATATAATAACGAACTTTCCTAATATGAGGCGAAGGAAGAGTGTTCCTCATCCAACATCCACCTTAATTCTTAAAAACATATTTTTTAAACAAAACCCAGCACCTTATTGTATCGAATGTGTTACGCCGTTCACCTCGGGTGGGCATCGGGCCGGTGTAAAATTAACCCACGCGGCTTGCACATCAAACACACCGCCGCCTTTGTACTCGCCGCACCATTGTCTCCCACATGTTGTTTTAATACTCTTAATTTCGTGTTGTCATGTTAAAAGTTTATTACTCAACGAACACGGCTTTGCAATTACCAACTTTATTCATATATAATAAAATAAAATATTGGGTTCCTTGCTTCATGACCACAACCCTTTTGATGTGAATCTAAATTTGCTACAGTAACCTTTAGTATGTAAGTAATAACGGCTATAACCGATTGTATTATTTCACACTTTTTACGAGCAACAAAGAAGCCAAATATCTTAATAGCGGAAATTCATAAAAGGGATGTAAAAATGATAGAAACTTGAGAGGACTGCCACTTTGATACGCTTGAGGATAGTATACAAACATATATATCTACCCAGGTAGGGTTACCAGATGAAAAAATTAAAAGTCCGGAGAAGAGGCTTGATTTCCATTTAAAAATCCTGAGATTGTTTTAGTTTGAGAAGAAAACCTTAC